GTTGCTTCATTTCGAGGGCCAAGGGGTAGTAGGCAAGGGCTAGGGGTAGGGCCAAGGGCTAAAGGGTAGTGGACAAGGGGGGATATTGGGATTGGGCCCAACTGGCCCTATCTTACATTAGCACAGTAACAGTACATGAAATTGGTAATTCTAGGATAGCAAAGGAATGGCTTGCCTTACTCTGTTTTACACATAAACACACCCAACCAATGGCCAACAAGGGCGTAAGTTCTGCACCTTTGTAAAATTTCATATCCTTCCATACCAGCAGATGGCAGTAGTCTGTATTCATCATTTAAAAAAGGGAAACTTGAAGACCGTTTTGACGCTAGTTAGCCAGTTAGCACATTCACATCACAACACAATCCAATGTTAAAAGGACAGATTATATTCATACATTTTGAACAATAACATAAACCATCAGGAAACATTTCTGCTAAAGGGCTCAATGGCTAAAGAAAAACAGTCTTACTTCATTTAACAAGTTTGACCTCACTACATCTCGACTTAAGCTCTTTGTTTACATTCATTACCTGTGTTTCTCTTCTCATGCGTTGAGATGAACTGCCAATCAAAGTGATTTCATTCACTCATTAGCTCCGCTGTGCCAAATCAGCAGATAAAAGGCTAATTAGCACCAACATGGGCCAATAATGCTGGACACACCGCATTGATGAGGGCGACACTCAACTAGGGATGCGCAGAGATGTCCTTATCTGTATCTGTATTTGTATTCGGATAAAACCCGGAAGTGGGCGTGGTTTATACGGAAGTTGTGTTACATTGTATTTTCTAACTTTATATTCATTGGCAATGCAATTTCTGAGCATTCAAAGCATCAAATTGATTTATTATTGGCATATACTAAGTTCTGAAATATATTTCCATGTCCTCATACTTCACTTTTCAATAATTATAATAATTAAAGCTGCAAGCAGCTGTGATCGGACCCTCGCTCACCCGCACCACTGCGGGGGCCCAGCAGCACGCATAACTGAAGCGATTATGTGAAAACTCAGAGTAAGTTAACCCTGATGTGGCATTACATTTCATCTTCCTACTCCAAAAAAAAAAAAAAAACCCTATGGGGAGGGTTTTTTGAAAATTTCAAGGGGGCACTATAGAAGCGTTTTGTCCCCCCCATGGGTGACGCCCCTATTAGATGTAAGAGCTCACCATTCTTGACCTGTGTATCAATTTTCATAAGGATATGAGGTCGCTAAAGCCATCAAAAAGCCAAACGTATTTGGTGGCGAGGGAGGCACCATAGTGGCCACGCCCCTTAACATAGAGAAAAGCTTTTAATAACTTTTCATCAGCATGGTCTCTGGATGATCTCTAAAAAATTTGAAGTCGATTGGATGAAATCCCTAGGACTAGTTCGTTAAAATACAACATGTGGAAATCACGCCAAAATGACAAGTCAAAATCAAAATGGCCGACTTTCTGTTTGGAGTAGACCATTGGTGCCAGAGACTTTCATGTGCGTCTGGACAACATACACATCTGTACCAATTTTCATCTTCTACTCCAAAAAAACCCCTATGGGGAGGGGTTTTTGAAAATTTCAAGGGGGCGCTATAGAGGCATTTTGTACCCCTCATGGGCGACGCCCCTATCAGATGCAAGAGTTTGCCATTCTTGACCTGTGTATCCATTTTCATGAGGAGATGAGGTCATTGAAGCCATCAAAATGCCAAACGTATTTAGTGGCGAGGGATCGACAGTCGCCACACCGCCACATGGACACCAGCTTCACCAACTTGTTCTGCATGCATTAGAAGTGGAATGAAGTTGATGCGGTCAAATTTGTGGCATTAGTACATCTTAAAGTAAAAACTGGTCACTTCCTGTTACCACTGGGGGGAGCTATGAGTAAGGTGGGATATTAACATATCGGGGCGTTCGGATCGGAGCCATCATCGTGTCCAGCAAGTCTGAAGCTGCTGAGATCAAGTATGTGGGCGGGACAGCCGTTGATCGGACGAAATCCCAAGGAGGAGTTCGTTCAAATTTAAGTTGTGGAAATCGCTGTAACGAAAAAATTCAAAACAAAATGGCTGACTTCCTGTTGGGATTTTACCATGATGTCAAGAGACTTCTTTGTGCTTCTCGGTATGATACATGTGCGTACCAAATTTGGTTTGCCTACGACAAACTAACCAAAATGGGGAGGGTTTTTTGAAAATTTGTAGGGGGCGCTATTTCGGCATTTCGCGTCAACCATGTGCAACCGCCCAAAAATATCAAATTTCGGATGCGGCTGGACAAATGTGGAAAGTTACAAGCATTTTGAAATTTGGGAAAGGGGCGAAATTGGGGCACAAAGTCGGGTAAAGAATAATAATAATAATTAAAGCTGCAAGCAGCGATGAACGGGCCCTCGCAGTCCATGCGCGTCGGGGCATGCTGCCGTCGGGGGCCGTGCACCTAGAAGTCTTGTCAGCTGTAATAAATAAAAAAATAAACGTTATCTCTTACTTACATTTCCAGTATACAGGTAGGCACCCAACCCACGTATGTATTTTTCCAAAAACTAGAAGCTAAATACATGCCCAATAGTTTAAGGTCTTCTGACTCTTTAAAAGTTGACATGGTGTCTCTAGCTCAAAGTATGAGGGACAAGAAGAGGTTGAAAGTCGATGAGTTTTGAAGAGAATTTGAAGGTTTTCCGATTTACTTCCATTCACACTAATTAGACTGCCACCAGAGTGCCGATTGGCGCCGATATTGGCCGATTTGCACCAAATTTTGCACAAACCCTCATCAGGCCATGGAACACAATTAGCAAAAGTGTTGTGGTAATCCGACTGTATTTGGTCAAGATATGAAAGACTGTCTGTTTTGAAAACAATGTGCAGGAATTTGTTGTTTTATATTTTGGGCGTTTTTTGGACGATCAAAATTCTTTTAATAACCTTTTGTCAGGAGGGTCCACAGATGCTTCATGCAAAGTTTGGTGCAAATCAGTCAAATTGCCTAGGAGGAGTTTGAAATAGTAGGTTTTTCATTTGTCGCGATTTAACAATGGAAAGTTACTGCGAAAGTGGGTGTGGCTTACATCACACAATTCAGCTGAATTCAGGGAACACTGAGATATAAGGTTTCAAAACGTGCAACACGTTATGTGGGAGTTATTAGCCAAAAACGCTTTTGCATTGAAAATAGCGCCACCTGCTGGTCATTTTTGGTGTGTGAGTTACAGGGGCCAGTCTATACCACCCCTATCAATTTTATTTCCATGAGTGTTATGGTGTTGGCACGGTGCCAAATATTAAATTAGATGGCCATCAGAGCGCCACCTAGTGGCAGATCGGTAAGTAAGATATCCTCAGGAGGGCACTGACAATAATTATACCAAGTTTCATGTTAATCTGCCCAACAGATGTTGAGATATAAAATACTTCAATTTAAAGAGCGCCACCTTGTGGTCATCACCCGTAATTTTGCACAGAGCCTCAGGGGCTCATGGGGAAGTGGTAATCTGAATTTCATGCCATTCGGATACACCAATATGGAGATAAGCAGCATTTCCTGTTTAGAACGAAATCTGCAGGAAGTTGCTATTTAACAACTTGAGTATTGTTTGGAATATTGACATTCTTTTAATACCTTTTAGTCGGGAGGGTCCACAGATGCTGTGTGCAAAGTTTCATGCCAGTCGGTGAAATTGCCTGGGAGGAGTTCGAAAAAGTAGGTTTGCGACATTTTGTGAATTTGTGGAAAAAAACGGTAGGATGAAATGGGCGTGGCCTATACCACAAGAATCAGCACAATTCACTGAACGCGTGGATATAAGGTTTTTGAATGTGCCACAAAGTATATGGGAGTTAGGAGCCAAAACGCACTTTCCTTAATAGTGGTGGAAATTCAGAACGACAATAGATTATAAAATTTTTTATTCCAAGTTTGGTGAGTTTGGTGAGTTTTGGGGTATGTTCAGGCAGTGAAAAATGCGATCAAAAATAAAATA